GGTGAATACGGTGAAAGAGTGATTTAAGGGAAAGATATTAACTGATCCCATGTCTAAGGGATATATCCTATGTAAAATTCCAAATTTACCCTTGAATGTTGATTAGTCAAGAATCAGTCACACATTCACATAATAATTAGAGATTATATATGAACCTAACTCTCTCTCTCTCTCTCTCTATACATATATATATATATATATATATATATATATATATATATATATATATATATATAATATAAAAATATGTATAGACAATAACAATACATTATCTAATTTTAGGGTTTTTTTTGACTTTCTTCCACTTCACAACATACGACGATAAGACAGTGAATTGGTCGTATATTTTTGGACATGTCGTATTCTTTTGGTGGATTTGTTGTATTTTATATTTGTAAGTATGCTGGATTTGTTGTATTTTATATTTGTAAGTATGTTGGATTTGTCGTTTTGTAATATTGGATTTTTAATTTTTTAGTTGTTAAAAAACTAGATTTTAAGCTTTTAAAGTTATGAAAAATAGTTTTTTTAGCCCAAAATATAACAATTTTTAGCAAAAAAAAAGTCAATTTTAAGTCTATGAAACAGGGAACTGGAGCGGGATCGAGGGCGATGAAAGTATTCGGGGCCGGATTGGGGGCTATGTAAACGGGAGAATCGGGGTCGGGGGCGGGTGCTGAGGCAATAACTGATTTCGGGAGCTGGATCGGGGGTAACTATTTCTGCTCCTGTTGACATCCCTACTTGCAACACACATATAACACTTGGATTTTTGCAGTTGTTTGTTGTTTAGAAAATTTCTGACTTCAAAACTGTTACGTGTATGTTGTGTGACGCAAAACTAGACTCTCTCCTCTCTAAACCACTTATCACCTTTCTTTAAGTATATTATTTAAAATAGATTTGTTTTAATTTTTTTTGACAATATGTTTATTATTTTAATAATATTATAAAAGATATTGTAAACAATATATTTATTATTTCAACAATATGTTTACATATTTTCAAAATCATTTGGCAATTTTCATATTAATATTTTTTTGTGTTACATCGTTTATAACAAAATATTAATTAATTATAAAGTTAATCACTAAAATTATCAAATTTATTGAAGCTACCCGAAAAAATAACCATCGTCTTCGAATATATAACAAAATGAACATGTTGTTCATTAAATTAACAATTTGATTTATTGGTATTTAACGAATATTATGTTGAATTATTTTATAAGGAGAATTTCATATATATCCCTCTTAAACTTTAAAATATCATATTTATCCAGCTTAATTTCTCAATATCATAATTACACTTCATAAACTTTCAAAATATCATATTTGCCAAAATCCTTTTTAATAATGTTTTAATATTTTATAATCATTTTTTTATACCTTAGAATTATTATAATAATTAAAAACTTAAATATTATCTTTACGTCTAAGATAATAGAATGTGAACTTTTAAATTGTTGAAATGTCGGCCTCTTGACAGAAAAAAAGATTGATCTTCAACCCTTTCTATGAAATGTATATTTTAATTGTTTAGTTTTTGTTGTTGTTTATTAATATGTTGTAGATGGAGGATATTTTAGATATTACTATTGATATTTTGATGTTTGAAAAGTGAATATACGATATTTTGATATTTACGAATGACATATATGATGTTTTGATGTTTAAAAAGGGCATATATATATATATATATATATATATATATATATATATATATATATATATATATATATATATATATCTTTACTATCTTATAAAAGAAATCTAATTATTTCTAAAAATAGATTGATTATAATAATAATATTTTTTTAAGACGTCCAAATGATGAAGCTGATAGTACAAGTAACCATTAATAAATTAATATTAAATTTTAACCATGTTTTGAATTCAAATATTTATCATTAAATCTCCTTATATTTCTCAGCAATTTGTTATGGTTCCCTTAAATCCCGGATTCATTCAAATTTTGAACCCTTTTAGATATCCTTAAATTTAGCATGTTGATTCAAATATCTCTCTAATCGCATATACCTCTTTGTTCCCTCCTCTGCTATAAAGTCACCGTCCAGGAACAAAAAATGACTTCATCTCCCATCTTCCACTATCCCCAACCACTGGTTCTATGACACTGCTTCTGACGTCTTTCCTTCCAAAAACGACTTCACCACAAGAACCCTAAATTACTTTTGGAAGCTCACCCTCTTCTCATTCTCTATCTTTTTTCTCTCAATTGGCATTTAGAGTTTTGATTTGTCATATGTGACGCCGTCCACCGCGACCATGACATTTTTTGATCGTTTTTACACCATCGCTTCCATTCAAACCCAACCATTCCCAAATGTCGGCCTAATTGATACACACTTTTGCCATTTTCACGGTTATGCCTTCATATTTTATGTCGTCTTGATCCGTTTCTTTTTATCGGTTATTTGATGTATCATGTAACAAATAACACCATAGTTTGATTATTTTGTCTTCGACATGTACTTTTTTTTTGTAACATAACATTTTTGTAGAGGAAACATATCACCGAAAGAATTTACACGCCCCGCCGCTTTGCGCGGGTACACTGCTAGTATATATATATATATATATATATATATATATATATATATATATATATATATATATGATATTTTGAAATTTTATAAAGGGTAAATATGATATTTAGAAATTAATTAGGGTAAATATGATATTTTGATGTTTAAGAAGGGCATATATGAAATTCTACCTATTTTATATAAACGTAATTAAAAATCATATCATCACAATGATCTTTGTATATATATATATATATATATATATATATATATATATATATATATATATATATATATATATGTTGTAGATGGAGGATATGATATTTAGCAATTTTGTTGTCCCTCTTTTGGTATTCTCGTTGTTTATGTAATAACTGACCAATAAAAATTGGATTAGTGTCCCATTCACCGATTGTGTAAGCCAATAACAGTTAGATTGTTGTCGATTCTTCTCTTTTTTACCCAGGTATCCCTCCCCATCTTACATACACATACACACACCGACTCACTAGTCAAAATGTCTCTCTCCCGTTGGGCACCTCAGTTGGCCATATAATGATGACACTAAAATCACCAACACAACATAACGACTTGTTGGGTTCTTTCATGGAACACAAAGAAGAACTCATCGACGAACACATCGCCAATAACATCATCGAGGTTAAAAGAACCATCAGGGAGTTATACGTGAGTGGGACGGGTTTAACTATTTAGGACATACGGTGGCAGAGCGGCGGAAAACAAGGTACAATAGGAAAGGCGATATCCTGAAAAAGAGATACAAAGAGTATATTCAAAAGAGAATATAGTGAAAAGAGACAGTGGAGAGGAGAAAGAGGCGACTTGGCCTGGCTTGTGTTCTCCAAGGTTGATGATTTGGGAGATTACAAATACATTAATGTTTATGGTCTACATCATCTTCAACCACATGTACAACATTCAAAGAGTTGGGTACACATATATGTTTATCTAGTTGCAGATTTTGGTTATTGTAATCAATATTGATCGTGCGTTTCATTTACCAATTATGTTTGTATTGAAAGGTGGTTGAAGATAATTGTTGAAAATGGCAAGACTTTGACAAGAGGTAAAGGGGTGAGATGGATTTAATTAATTTATTTTAATTAATCAAAAGCCATTTTTACATAAAATTGTACATAAAATGGACTTAATTTATTTATTTTAATTAAGTAAAAGCCATTTGTACATGAAATTGGGAATTTTCAGTGAGAAGGACTAAATAAGCAGGTGAAAACTAATATTGTTCTCTCAAAAGGCTTGAAAATAATTTAAGAGACTGAATGAGCAAATATGCAATACATAATTGGGCTAATATGTCATTTCCCTTGTTTTTTTTTTTAATAAAAACCATTTTTGACCATTTTTGGTTGTGCCACACAAGATAAACATATCACTTGGTCTTTCACAATTGTTTGTTTTTTTAAAGATTAATGATTTTAAAACTACTACACATGTGATGCGCATGTGTTTTGTGGTGCAACACAACTTTCATCTTCAAACCACTTCCAACCTTACTTTAAGTTATATTATTCAATATAGATTTGTTTGAATTTTTTTCGACAATATGTTTATTATTTTAATAATATTATGAAGGATATTATAAACAACTAGAGTATACTTTACATAATTTCAAAATCATTTGGTAAATGTCATATAAATATTTTTTGTGTTCTATCGTTTATAGCAAAATATTAATAAATTATATAGTTAATCTTTTTTTGAACCGACAAATTAACATACTCCTAAATACCACATATGTTTCCTAATGAGACTTGAACTTATGACCTCTCATTTGATAGTGTCACTCTTTACCGATAATCACTAAAATTACCAAATTTATTAAAGCTACCCGAAAAAATAACCATCGTTTTTGAAAATTTAATAAAATGAACATGTTCGCTAAATTAACAATTTTATTTATTGGTATTTAGCGAATATTATATTTAATTATTTTATATAAATGTTTTTAAAATCATTTCATCATAATGATCTTTATACTTGATTTCATATGATTAAAATAAATAAAGTTTTGATTTAGAATTAATTTTAACTACTACATTGTTAATTTCAATTTATTTCAGCAGTTTGCAAATTTTAAAAGACAAACATAAATTTATTAAAGGGTACAACCATTTTATCAACTTCTTTCTTTGCAGCAAATGGTTACATATGTGGTTTAAAGACTTCCCATATTTTTGTTTCGAAATAACAACACCACATGTCCAAATTAATATTTGTAACATGCTAACCGCTATTAACAATGGTTTCAACAAATGTTTTTGATCATCAATATTTTGTCTGATGTTTTTTAATTATAAGTTCTTAAGTGAAAAGCTGAAATATAGTATTATTTATTTATTTATTTATTTATATCTATTTTTAAATTTATTTGTTTATAATTTGTCCTATAAATTTACAATAACTTGGTGGACAAGGCGTAGACAAATGTTTGGGCTTATTTTGTAGGCGTGAATCGTGATGAGCCGGAGACCGTGGATCTAAATCCACCTCCTTTTCCTTCTTTCTTTGAAAAAAAGAATAAAAAGAATCAAATTGGCAGACGCAATTGGACTGAAAAACCTAACTGTCATCGTGGAACTTTTCGACAGTTGATTTATGGTTCTTCTTTCCCCTTTCCCATTTCCCATTCTTTTGGACCATTTTGTTCTTCCCCCAATTTTTCTGCTGAGATTCTAAAACCGTAATCAAGCGCGATTTGATTTTCAACAACCCTAACAGCGAGAAACTTGTTTGTAATTGGAAGAAAATAATTGTCTTGAGGTTCTGTTAGGGTTTTGTTTTCTATTTCTATCGTGGGTTCTTGAAATTTTACATTTAGCAAAGATTTGATCGAGTTAATGGAGACCGCTCGTTCGGAAACAGGATCTTTCGCCCAAACCGAAATTAATTGGGACAAGTAAGCAATCTTTTATTCCCTTTTCGACTTATTATCCCCATTTAATATTCATTCCTCATGCATTTCATGAAGTTTGTCATCTCTTTTATGGGTGGCTTTGAAGGTATTTTTGTCAACATGTCGAAAATTTTGGGTAATATCTTGACATTGCACATGAATCCTGTTTTTTCTCTGTAAATAAAAGCCTCCTTATGAATTTTGTGTTGAATAAAATATCTCTACTTCTAACTTTAAAAAATTGATTTAAGGGGGTATTTGCATATATGAGTTTTCAAAGCTAAGATCATTAGGTGCAGCAAAGTAATCAAAGAAGCGAATGTTTTTAAGAACAAAAAACGATGACTACATTAACTGTGCTTTTTCTTTTTTACTTTAGATTAAATAGGGTAAGCTGTATATATTTGCAACATTCCCATTGTCATCATTATTTCACTTTGTGGTGAATTGTTATTCTGTTTTGATTATTCAGAAATCTAATGACATGAAATTTAATTTTTATACAGGCTTGATAAAACGAAGTTTTACGTGGTAGGAGCAGGAATATTTACAGGGCTTACAGTTGCACTCTACCCAATATCAGTGGTAAAAACAAGAATGCAGGTAGCTACAAAAGAGTCTGTTGAAAAGAGTGCATATGATGTTATTCGAGGTTTACTGAAAACAGAAGGCATCCCAGGTTTATACAGAGGTTTTGGCACAGTTATCACAGGGGCAATTCCGGCAAGAATTATATTTCTGACAGCATTGGAGACCACAAAAGTTGCTGCTTTCAAAATGGTTGACCCGTTTAAGCTTTCGGATCCTACAAAAGCTGCTATTGCTAATGGACTTGCTGGAATGACAGCTTCCCTTTGCTCTCAGGGTGTCTTTGTTCCTATTGATGTGGTATGCTCTTTGCTTTCATCATATCTTTATTATACTAATCAACTTTAACATCAACATTCATGATTAATACCCAAATATGGGATGACTTTATTATAGTAAATTACTAATCAACTTTGTTTCTTTTAACCTATAGAAGATTGTGTTTTCTACAGATTGTATCAATATGTAACCAATAATAGCAACTTGCTTACGTGTCATGGTATTATTGGGTGCACTTGCACATTGATATTATCTGTAGAAAATGTAAGTAAGTTGCTATAATAAGTGGGTACATCATATTGATATTATTTTGTAGAAAGTGTAAGTAAGTTGGTATAATAAGGGGGTAAAAAGAGTAAATAGTAGGTAGGGTAGGGGCTAATGTTGTAAATATTGAAACATGAACAGATAAGTCAAAGATTGATGGTTCAAGGGTATTCAGGGCATGCGAGCTACAATGGAGGGGCAGATGTTGCCCGTAAAATCTTAAAACAAGATGGAATCCGCGGGCTATACAGAGGATTCGGTCTGTCTGTCATGACTTATTCACCTTCTAGTGCCGTTTGGTGGGCCAGCTATGGCTCTAGTCAACGTCTTATATGGAAGTGGGTCTTTATTATTATTATTTTTAAAAAAAAAAATATATATTCGTATTGTTGTATAATTTGTTTTTGTTTTTGTTTGTAGTTTATTAGGTCATGGAAATGATAGCAATGGATCTCTTCCAAGCCAAGGGACAGTTGTTATGGTTCAAGGTGCGGGTGGAATATTTGCGGGGGCCGCAGCATCTTGTGTCACAACTCCACTTGATACTATAAAGACTCGACTACAGGTATAGCAAATTACAATTTTGGTCCTTATTTGAGGATCTTGTAACGTTTTTGGTCCGTGTTCTAGATAAAATGACTACTATTGTGGACTCTGAGTATAGCTGATTTTTGCAATTTTGGTCCCAAAAGTTTATTAATTTAAGTGATTCGTTTTATGTTACTTAGAACAGGGACCAAAAACGTTACAAAAACCACAAATAAGGATCAAATTTGCAAAAGAAAACTTTTCGGGACCAAAATTGAAAAATCACCGAAACTCGGGGACAAATGGTAGAATGGTTTAACGGGTTAAGCCAAATTACCTATTCGCCCTTCTTTTTTCCACCGACGTGTTAAAATTGATGAGTCGTGTGAAAGTTGTTTGTTGGAATGTAAGTGTAAAATGGTCATTTAATCTCATATTCAGACGGTTTATTCAGTCTAGAAAAACAACAAACTTTATGTATAATACAACACTTTTTCTATACATTACCCATGGCATTCATTCACTTTATCCATACACGTTGATGCTCATTTAATTTAATTTTTTGTAAAAGGTAATGGGACTAGAAAAGCGACCCTCTGCACGCCAAGTCATCAAAACATTGATTGCGGATGACGGTTGGAAAGGTTTCTATAGAGGGATTGGTCCGAGGTTTTTTAGCATGTCCGCATGGGGGACTTCCATGATACTCGCATATGAATATTTGAGTATGATTTCTTCCCTTTTCTTTTAACCCTAAATGCAACAAAATTAGCAATCTAATTTTATATAAATAACCCTTTTTCTTGTTTTTTTTATTTGTAGAGCGGATATGTGCTCAAGATTTGTAGTTACTACGCGTTTAAATCCATGGGGTTTGTTGGATATACTTTTGTGGTTCTTACTTGTTGAGGATGCATGCATGTATACATATACTCTATTATATAGTGTCTGAAATGGCACAAGGCTCTCTCTCTCTCTCTCTCTCTCTTTGGTTTACATGAAGAGTAAGAATTAGATCACTTCACATAAAAAAGCAAATGTATGGATTCATACATCATTCTTGATTCTTTTAACCATTTTTGACATACTAGAATTGATTCGATGATTCAAGGTTGTATTTTGTAATCTCTTTTTTATCACATAAATAATAAGTAGATGTTTTTTTTTCATGTTTTATATAGCCGAATTTATGGTGTTTTTGGGATGTTTTGTTGGTATTTTTAAAAGCTAGGCTAATAATGAGTGTGAAATTACATTTTTAACCCTTGTTTCTCTAAACTCTCTTTCATTCTGGTCGTTTCTGTTTTTCAAGTGTTACATTTAACATTTGGTTAAAAGGTCAACCGTTTTTAATTCATGATTACTTGCTCAAAGTTCCTATTACACATATCCATATTAACACACCAAGCAAATTTAAAAAATCAAAAAGATAGAGATTTGATTTTGGAAGAAATTTGCAAACTAATTGTAAAAATCTTTAAAAGTTTACATGAAGCTCCGATAGTAGGGAAGTTACAAATTGGAACTAAATAAAATTGTGTATTCAAGGTTTGTCTTCCATGCCTATAATTTAATTATTTAAAAAAGTAAAATCCTTTTAGTATAAAGCGTATAACGCACAATAAAAAGATATAAAGTAGGATAAATAAATTTAAATAATAAGACTGAGATATATGAAACGAAGAATAATTCAAAACAACTAATAAGGTGCTAGAAAAAATTTATTCCAGAAAATTATTTTACAAGTATTGAAAACATATCTTGCTCTACAAAGATGATAAAGTCATGAAAAGATGGTAAACTTTAGCAAACCATCACTACTAATCTTTACTATCTTATTAAATATATTGTCTATTTTTTAAAATTTAAGAGGTATACCTATTACAACATGTTGTAAAATATTATTAAGCTTACAATCATACCGTGTAACTCATGGTATCTTTACCCTATCTTAATCCTAACCTTATCGACACAACATCAGACGCCATCAAACCCACATCTCTTCTATATCTCTCCTTACTCACTTCAGTTTCCAATGGACCTTCGATACCACCACCCTCCTTCCGCCATCGCTGCAACCTATAGAAGGTCATCGAACATCCCTTCCTCCATTAATTGTCATGTACTCACTCAAATGCTCATCCTTATTCAACCTTACATATGTGAAAAACCTAGACCACAAAACATAGCCGTTGTCAATTGTCAAATTTGCCTTTTCTAGTCGTTGTCAATTGCATCTGTTTTCATGTGCAAGTTAACAAGATTATATTTTGTAATCGTTGCAAACTTGCAGGTTTACCAACGTCTAGCACACAGGCAGCGTACCACCACAAATTTGCCGCCCTCATCACCCATGTTCTCTCTCTCTCTCTCTAACTTTGTTGTTGTCGATTTCAAGTTTCTTTTTAGTTTTTGATTTTTTAAGTTCCTCTACTTCATCTTCTTTTTGTATTTTTGACTATGCCTTCCTCTCATTCAAAGAATGTGTACGATAGTCTGCATCAACCTCTTAGTTCTCTTTCCTTTTCTATTAGTTTGCCTAACTATTTGTGTTTTATTTGTTTCAATTTGTTTCTGTGTAAGAACATTTGGGAGATGATTCATCTACTCCAATTCTAAAGTTGAACACGATGATCAAAGAACCGGGTGATAATCAGAACATGTCTCCACACCCTGCAACTCTCCTTTTGTTGCTAAACGATGTCCTCTGTTTCCCTTCATATTCAAGTGTAAACCCTAACTCCATTGAATATAAAAATTCTTATTACTCTATTGTTTTGTTAATTTTCCAGGGAGCGAATTGGGAATTAGATTTAGTAACTTAATTTCTTCATGGGAAAGAAAAGGATCAGGGGTGAGATTAACCCTGTTACATGTTGGATTTTATCACTTACATGCCTTTTTTCAAGTTGTTTCAGGTATGGATTGTTCAAATTCTCCTAGTGTTGGTTTTTTTCTTGGCTTATTGCCGTATTGGGATTTTTAATGTTATATGCAAATAAATAGTTTCTATTGTTATGTTTACTTTAAGATTAGCTTTTCGATCTACTGAATTGCAGGCAAATAAATAGAGATAATCATGTAAGCTTTTATTGATTTGTTGAATGACAGAAATTATAAAAGGGTCAAGACTATAAAGTGTTTGTTGACCATTTTCTCAAGTTTGTTTTTAGGATTTTATTGATTATTGTTTTCATATTATGGTTTGATAAGTTCGTGAACCTTTTATTACATGCCTGCTATGTTGCTTTTATTGGATTGTTAGAGGCTCACGCATATTTAAATGGGTGTACTACAATATGAATCATGCAATATCTTTGTCCATTTATGTTATGTTTTGTCTTGATAGTTAGCCTCCTTTCATGTAACCTTTGTTCTTATGTTCAAACGCCTTGTATTGGTTCAACTTCTGGTTGGTCTTCTATTTTCTGCTTTATATATTTTTTCTAAAAATATTATATATTTTCATTAGTTTTAACAAAATTTGGTTATCTCTCATGACTTTCAATAACTGTCCATATTTCTCATGACTATTAAATGTTGCACAATTTGTAGCTTAGAAAAATTTGTTATAGCATTCTACAAAATTTTCTAAGCTAAGTGATTGGCAAATGTAGGTAAACGAAGAAACTGAAATGATGGACAATCTTGAACTTCATTATCTTGAGGATTACCCTCTTCAGGGAAAAAACTCAATAAGCATTTGAATTGTCAGTTATGTTGATTAAATGGTGGCATGTATGCGTTAAATTGACATTTGATTTGGACCTAATACTTAAGTGCGATTAAAACAATCTTCACCAAAAAAAGTTTATTGCAACTAGAGACCAACACCAGGGAGTATTTGAGTTGCAACATGGTTGGGTGTGGTAGCCTTTCCTATGTTTTAATTTGTATTTCTTAATCTTTTTATGTATATTCTATTAAACATTAATCAAATTTTAATACTTTGAACTAAACTCCACGAATAAAATAATCAATTTTTCTTTCCAATATGTAAAATAAAATTTAGAATACATAAAACAAAGATCTTATCTATAAAAGTACAATTAACATTTGAGAGAATACAAAAATCTTATTTATAAAAGTACAATTAACATTGATTATTTAATTTAATATTAAAAGTTGTTTAAAAATTGTTGAAAAATTATATCCAAAAACATTAGTTTATATTATTTATTTAATTTCTTTTAAAAAACTGATATTAGTTTCAAGTTATGCATATAGTAGTTAATATGAGAAATATGACACTTATTTGAGAAAAAAAAAACTATTTACTTTTATT